CCATTTGCAACCTTTTTAGCCAGCAAAAGTTTTAAAATTGGGCACAACTCGCTTAATTACCGCCTTGCTTTGCAACTAAAATCCTGATCCCAACTGTGGTCACAAGTCAGGGACTGCCTTTATTGTTCACTCCCCAAGATAGATTCCACAAGGTGGAATTACTTCATCTTCAACCATAACAACACAAGAGCACACAATAGATACAAACTCATGGTTAACTGCACCAAACTTGTTTGCCTGAAATACAACTTCAGCAACAGAGTGGTCAATGTCTGGAATACTCTACCTGACCCTGTGGTTTCTTCCCCAAACTCCAAAAACTTTAACCTTAGACTGTCTACTATTGACCTCACCCCTTTCCTAAGAGGTCTGTGGGGGGCGTGCATAAGCGCACCAATGCGGTAGGTCCCTGTCCTATTGTTTCTTTTATTTTTCTTATATGTATCCATGTATTCATAACTATGTTTATGCTTATACCTATTATCTTGTAAGCAATTGACAAACCAAATAAAATAAATAATTTTTTAAAAAAAGGAATTAAGTTTCTCCCTGATGGTAATCAGGATTTGCAGTCAGTGGGCCTACTGCCTTCATGGCAGCAAAGACTTGGCCTGAGATCCTTGCAGGAATGATCTCTTGGTTTTGCATAATCTGTCCCAGCGGCAGACATGCCGGGACATCCATCTTTTAGGGAAGAAAACTAGCAAGCGTCAAGACTAGAGTCTGGCAGCCCTTAGGCCAGTTGCATTGGTGGCAGAGTGATAAAAGATTTTGGCTGCAGTTCATTTGCTTGTGATGGACACTGCCTAAAGACCTCTCCACCCCCACCCACAAACTTGCATCCTATTTTTATGTGTACCCGTCCAAAATCAATCATGTTGTTGGTCTGTAAAGTTGTCAGCAGAGATGAGGTTTTGTGTCCCCGGTTAGTGATCTGCCTGATTGATTGCTTTATGGAAATGTGGAGTTCCAATCTCAATGCCACAAAGAATCTAACCATCAGCCATGACGATCGGTTCTTCATAACTCGGCAAGGTCTGAAACACCTGATAAAAGCTTACACCAGCCAGTTTTGAGATAACCAATCTGTGCCATTTAATCTTCAACTAGCATTTCTAAACCTTTGGAATCCATCATTTACTTAATTGATATTTTTTAACTAATTAGCAGCACAACTCTACCATTGTTGCTGTAATTATTAACGACCAATTAAAGCAATGTAGGATTCTTTCAGTAGGAACACAAAGAAAATTAAACTCTCTCTAGCATGAAGATATAATGAATTTTGAGAACTCTTGGTTGCCATGGCTACTTGATTTGCTCATTCCCAAACCTTTGGTTGTCCTTAAAATAAACAAACAAATCCAAAACTGGGGAGGTGCTAGACATCCCCATTACATATGAGCTGTGAATTTCAGAAGATGACTTAAGTTTTAATCCTATCGATATATGGGTTTCTCTCCCTCTCCAGCTCTCCCTCTCTCCCTCCCTCCCACCCTCCCTCCCTTTCTCTTTCTCTTTCTGGTCCATTCTTTCTGATCCTGTTAAGACAATTGTACCATGATGGATGATACATCATGACTAATTAAATAATGTGGGTTGTAGGCACTAATAGACACAATGCATCTTTAAGATTAGTGGCTTTTCTAAAAGGGACAGTATGCACACCGATGCAACAAAGCAATTCATTTCACATTCATTCGATTTGCAAGTCATCATTCAAGTGAAATTGAAGGAAGGTGTATGACATGCCAATTAACATTAAGAACGCTAAAGCTTCATTTCTTATTTACCCATGCCACCACTACTGCATAATGATAATACAGCAGTTTTGAATCCAAGTGGTGGGGGAGGGCAATAGGTAATTGTATTGTTAGAAGTGGAAGATGCAACCTTCTCTATTTGTACTGCTGTAATACTATGTGAAGGGGCACGGTGGCTCAGTGGCTAAGACACTGAGCTTGTCAATTAGAAAGGTTGGCAGTTTGAATCCCTAGCACCGTATAATGGAGTGAGCTCCCATTACTTGTCCCAGCTTCTGTCAACCTAGCAATTCAAAAGCACATAAAATGCATGTAGAAAAATAGGGACCACTTTGGTGAGAAGGTAATAGCGTTCCATGCGCCTTCGGCAGTTAGTCGTACTGGCCACATGACCATGAAGTCGTCTTTGGACAGCGCTGGCTCTTTGTCTTTGTAACGGAGATGAACATCACCCACTAGAGCCAGAAATGACTAGCACATATGTGTGAGGGGAACCTTTACCTTTACCTTAATACTATGTGGCAAGATTGGGTGAATGGTCAGATAAGAAAGGGCATAGCCCACAGGTGAATTCTGAGCAGGACAAGAGCCTCAGAAGGGATTCTCCCCAAGTTCTTAGGCCGTAAAGAAGACAGTGGGAGTCCCAAAGATGCTTTTTTCAAAAGGCAACTGGACTTTCTGGTTTTTCTTTGAAGACATTTCACTTCTCATCCAAGAAGGTTCTTCATCCAAGAGAGCTGAAGAAGCTTCTTGGATGAGAAGTGAAACATCTTTAAAGAAAAACTGGAAAGTCCAGTTGCCTCTTGAAAAAAGCATTTTTGGGACAACCAAGACCTGGATGAGAATCTCCATAGACAAGACAGTGGGAAAATTGCACTTTCAGACTCACAACCTAATTAGGTAGACTACTCAGGAAATGCAACCAGATGAGCTCATTCTACTTCTATTGTAAAGCTACAACAACAAAATTCTGTAAGTCTGAAAGTATAATTCTCCTGCTGTCTCCTTTGCCGCCTGAGAAACTTGGAAGGGTCTCTTCTCCACTATCCAACTGCAGGGTCTTATCTGACCATTCCCCAGGCAATGTCTCTTTACCTTTGCCTCTCAAGGTCCTTCCCATATATTATTACAATTGTCAAACTCCAACAATTAATTATCCAAACCTAAATATAGACAGCTCAGCTGGTTAATTGCAAAAAAAAAAAAAGGATGAAGACAACCAAATTCATTCAGGGACAAAATCAGAACTCTTCCAGTGGGTTGAAAGGAACTGTGAAAAAATATATTAATTCTCTCTGGCATTGATTCTGTGATTACAACCCTAGGGAATAGAAGAAGGGGATTAGTTCCCTGCTGCTGACTGGAAGATAAGTATTGGGATTTTGAAAAAATAGCAAAGGAAAAGAATGATTAAACTAAAACCTTTGATATTGTTCAACGTTTGTGATCTTTGTAGGATTGGAGGGGGCTTAGAATTGAGCATAACAGTATTAACAAGTAGCCTGAAGTTGAACTGTAGATTAAAAAAAAAACACCGTAATTTAATTTTTAATTAAATTAAAAATGGTGGTAAAACTGATGTCTTGCAGCATCGGCTAAATCTGTACTGTGTGGTGCTGCTGTACAGGACAATACCTTCCCCATCAGGTTCTTGTCTTGGGAATGTCACAAATCTTTCTTTTTCCTTCTGTCATGAAATCAGGTTCTGACAGCCTCTTTTTCAGGATTTCTCAGCTGGTCTCAGAGAAATGCATGCGGCATTTTCCACAGCTGATACGGGGGTAAGAGACTAATAACACACTGTTCCCTCTATTGAGGTGGCAGCCTTCCTATTTTCAGACAATTAGGAATTTCAGTTTGTAGTAATCACTGCCCCAGCAAAGCTGCTCCCCTATCTCTGTCTCCCACTAGCTCCTAGATTAAAACTACTGCCTTAGTTCCTAGGTCAAACTTAAATTCTAGTCCCAGATACCATGATCAAAATAACTGAAAGAGGCTGCTTATACTTACTATAAAGCAAATAATATTCAACTGCTTTAAGCCACTTCCAGAAAGACAGAAAGCTGAATTATCTTTTAAAAGGTCTGTTGGTGCTAACTTTCGATCTAATTCTGCAGTATTTAAAAAACAATCCTGGGATTTCCTTTCAAGTGAGGGAAGACCCCACCTCTCCTAGAAGAATGAAATTGTTTGAGAAATATTACCGTGTTTCTCACAAAATAAGGCCAGGCCTTATTTTTTTTTTTGAGCCCCCCAAAAATGGCTAGGCCATCTTTTGTGGGATGATTTAATTCCCCCCCCTTGCATCCTTGGGCGGGCAGGTGGCAAAGGCTTGGATGTTGACCTCGGTGTTCATGGGGCACTTCGTATCAGGAAACCTTCCGCCACGGTTGCTTTCTCTTCTCCCCATGCTGCTGCAGCATTCAGAGTAAAGTCACGGCATTTGGCACAGCCATGCATGGCCAGCCAGGGCTCCTCCCTGCAACCAGAGCCCAGTGGAGACACTTGGCTTCAGGTGTTCCTGTTGCCGCCTTCCTTTTGCCTTCAAAGGCAAAGCCAATTCTTTTAAAAACGACTCCCTACTACCAGTACGACAAAGCCTCCTCTGCCCAAGAGGGCAGCCCAACCCATTGTGGGGAGGTGAATCTCCCAGGGCCGCAGCACAGGATTGGCCCACCCCAGGAGAAGCACCCAGCTGCCAACCCTGCCTGGCGCCGGGCAGAGCATGAAGAGCTTTGCCTGGGGTGCCCAGCGCAGCTGACAGGCAGGCCCTCCTGCCCGGTGGCAGAGCTCTTACCAAGGCAGTGAGCACCTCTCCTCCAGGCCCTCCTCATCACACCATGGCTGCGCTAGAACCGTGCGGGCTGGGCAGAGCCAGGAAAGTGAGCCATGGATGCGCGGCAGCCTGCCAAGCAAAAGAGCTGGGCCAACCTGAGCTTGGCTTCCTTCCCAAGTCCCTCCAGCCTGAACTCGAAGGGGAGAGGCTGCCTGAGGCAGTGATAGTGCCCACCCATCTGTGGACAGGGAGGCAAGGCGACAGCCTGCGCCACGTCCTTCTCCGAGCTGAGCCCCGTTGAGTGAGCGCCTCTGCCCAATGCCCATGCCACTGCAGCATTTGGAGCTGCTAGCACGTTTGGAGTTGCAAGGGGATGGGAACGGGCTGGACCCACCGGCCAGGGAAGCAGCACTGCTGTCGCCTTGCCTCCATGTCTGTGGATGGGTGGGCACTATCACTGCCTTGGGCAGCCTGTCCCGGTGGCCCCCTCACCAAACAACTCCAGCCCTATACAGAATCCATCACCTCACATGTACAAAACTCCTTCCACTTCATAGAAACAATAAAGAAACAAAACCTACAACCCAGCGACCTACTCGTGAGCTTCGATGTCATATTCCTCTTCACCCAAGTACCCATTAAAGAAGCCTTGACAGCCATCCAAAATAAATACAACCCCCCCAAGCACATCCTAGATCTGACCAACCACTGCCTAACCAACACATACTTCATCCACAATGGACAAAGATACAAATAGATAGAAGGAGCACCCATGGGATCACCCCTCTCACCTGTCATCACTAACCTATACATGGAACACTTTGAAACCAACTCTCTGGACAAATCCAAACACAAACCGAAACTCTGGCTCAGATATGTAAATGACACTTTCACAATTTGGTCACACGGGAAAGAAAAACTGGACAACTTCCTCACACATCTTAACAACCTATACCCCAAAATACAATTCACCATGAAAACAGAAACCAACAACCAACTTCCCTTCCTGGACATCCTAATTTACAAAAAGCCCAATGGCTCCCTGGGACACACCATCTACTGGAAAAGAACAAACACCAACCGCTACCTAAATGCACAATCCCATCACCACCCTGCACAGATCAACTCCGTAGCCAAGACCCTCATCTCCAGAACCAAACACCTAGCTGACAAAGACCACCTGAGAACAGAACTACATATCCTCACGCACGTATTAATTTCCAACGGATTCCAAAATAACACTATCACCAACCTAATCCAAAAAGAGATACCCCCCAAAAAACCAAGACACAGAATAAGACAACGGTATCACACTCTTCCCCTACATCAAAGGCATCACAGAAAAAATCAGCAAAATTCTCCACAAACACAATATCAGGACAGCCTTCAGCACTGACCAAAAAATAGCCAACATCCTAAGAAACCACAAAGACAAGATCCAGCTAGAAAACCAAGGAGTTTATGAAATACCATGCAACAATTGCCCAGCCACATACATTGGACAAACCAACAGGAGAATAAATGCAGGCATTGCAGAACACAAAAATGCAGTTAGAAGAGAAGAAAATACTTCCTCCCTCTTCCAGCACCTTAAAGCCACAGGACATGAAATTAATTAAGAAGGAACCAAATTAATATCCAACACTGAACACTCCAGCAAGAGAATAATCAGGGAAGCCATTGAGATAGAGAAACACCCCCATAACATGAATAAACGGGATGATACCTCCCACCTACCAGACATCTGGAAGCTAGCCCTCACCAACAAATGAGTCCCAGCCACGAAAACCAACACCAGACCCAAAACAACCCAGGACACCACCACCAAGCCCCCTCATCAGTCCCAGGCCCAAGCCCATCCTATAAACAAAGGACAACCACCATCCAGAAAACAGACCACGGCTGCTTCACCAGCTGTCGCACCCCCCAACCCCAAAACCAAACAAGCTGACACACGCCAAGAACACAGACCCAGACCCCAAACTCGAAGCCAGACCAAAACCCCGAATGCTACATCACAGCCACCCTCTCAGGATATCACATCAGAAAACTTAGGAAATTACACCACAAGAACTCAAGAAGTTGCAACACAGCAAAAGATCCAGGATATCACAGCACAAGACCAAGGATACCACAGCAATAAATCTCACAAGGTCATCACACAACTCATTACCCAAGCCATTACTACACAGGAGGCTAGTGGAAAAGAGATCAAAAGACAAATGACCTAGGAGATTACAACGAAGGACCCAGGATACCACAACAAAAGAACTCGCAAGCCCATCATACAACCCATTACCCAAGCCATTAAAACACGAGAGGCTAATGGAAAAAAGATCACTATAAAACAAATGACCCAGGAGATTACAGCACAAGATCCAGGATATCTCCACAACAAAATTCACAAGGCCATCACACAGCCCATTATAACAACAACAACTCCATCAACCAATCAAGAGGCAGCAGTGCAGCCAACCAGCACAGCACACCAGCCCCCCACCCCCTGTATTTATAGAGAGATGGCAGCTCCAATCACACACTGCTTGCACTGGCACGAAGCCGAAAGCACCAGCCTGAGGATGACGAGTGGGACCTCGCCGAAACATTGCCAAGATACTCTTAATCTTACATGGGAAAAGATCCGGACACACCTAGACCTATATATAGCCCCAAACTATACGGCCTCCCAAAAATACACAAAGAATGCATACCTCTCAGACCCATAGTCAGCTCCAGAGGAGCACCACTACAAAACCTAGCCAAATACCTAGCAAAGCAGCTACAGCCCCATGCTGAAGCAGCAGCTTCACATGTACAAAACTCATACCACCACTTGGAAATGATCAAAGATCTACACATGGAACAAAAAGATCTGCTTGTAAGTTTCGATGTGGTTTCACTATTCACTCAAGTCCTGATAAAAGAAATTCTCAAAATCATCAAAAATAAATACCAACCACCCAAACACCTCATGGAACTTACAGAACACTGCTTAACCAACAAATATTTCATATACAAAGGACAAAGATACAAGCAAATTGAAGGAGCCCCGATGGGATCACCACTGTCACCCATCATGGTAAACCTGTTCATGGAAGAATTCAAATCCAGAGCCTTAGCCAATGCCACACACAAACCCAAACTATGGTGAAGATACATTGATGACACATTTGTTATTTGGCCCCATGGAAAAGAAAACCTAAAACAATTTCCTAACACACCTAAACAGCACATACCCCAAAATCAAATTCACTATGGAAACGGAAACAAACAACTACCATTCCTAGATGTACTAATCTACAAAAAAAGAGATAGCACACTAGGACACACCATATACCAGAAGAAAACACACACCAACCGCTACCTCAATGCCCAATCCCACCACCACCCAGCACAGATAAACTCTGTGGCCAAAACACTAATTGCCAGAACCAAACGCCTGGCAGACAAGACACACATAAAGACTGAACTATGCACCCTGACTAAAGTACTGACAGCCAATGGCTTCCACAAAAGCAAAATCACCGGCTTGATCCACAAAAACACACTGAGACATAATTGAGACCTAGAAGATGAACAGACCTTGGAACAGCTGTCCTGCCCTACATAAGAGGTACTACAGACAAAATCAGTAAGATACTACACAGGCATCACATCAAGACTGCCTTCAAAACAGACAGAAAAACAGTAGCCATCCTAAGAAACCCCAAAGATAAAATTGACCTGGAAAACCAAGGCATATATGAAGTCCCCTGTGCATCATGCCCTGCCACATACATTGGACAGACCAATAGAAGAATGAGTACCCGCCTAGATGAACACAAAAATGCAGTAAAAAAGCTGGAACACACTTCCTCGCTAGTCCAACACATGAAAGCCACAGGTCATAGCATCAACTTCAATGGCACCAAAACCCTAGCCACTATAGAAAACCCCAGCTACAGAATTATCAGAGAAGCCATAGAGATTGAAAAAAGACCTGAAAGCATGAATAGAAGAGATGACTCCACCAGACTGTCAATTATCTGAAAGCCTGCACCCTCAAACAAAAAGTTCTCCACACCACAAGCCAGGCAAACACCTGGGCACAAACAGACTCCCCCTGATACCTCCAGCTCAAAAACCCCAACCAGGCACCCAGATAAAACCTAGCTTCCTAATAAATGATGGCTGTCCATTTACTTGGAGCCAAGCCACACTAAAGGCCTCCAATAAAGTAACACAATGTTGCCAGCCAATCAAGATACAAAAAGAGCCAAAAAACAGACAGAAGATATTAGAAACACCAATCAAGCAGAACACAGCAAACTCCAAGACCAATAAACACAGACCAAGACTCCCAACCAATCAGGATGAAGAAAAAACCATTCTGGCACAGCATAGGCTAGTAACAAATTTAAAACAGAAATGGCTGTGAAAGTGACTTACAGACGAACACTATACAGAAGCCTGATGATGGCAGATGAGATTCTGCTGAAACGTTGCTACAACTTTAAAAGCACAACTATAGTGACGTGGGAAAATACCAGAACAAAGCTGGATACCATAGATAGATAGATAGATAGATAGATAGATAGATAGATAGATAGATAGA